TACAGTAGATTGGCCGTAGCTTCTGGGTTACGCGCGCACAGCTTGAAAAACTCCGTCAGCATTGATCTGTCCCCGCGGTTAATCAAGTTGTGAAGCTGGGGGGTCGTCCCTTGGTCGCGATAACCAACCATGCTCATTCTTTCCAAATGAATAGGTAGCGTCACAACAGAATGTGTTGATCCTTGTGTTGGATGCATGAATAGCCGCATGCAAGCTTCTACCGGAGAAATATACCTCCCGAGGAGATACTGAAGAATTTCGTTCGCCCGAATTTCTTCGCCTTTAATCGTGATTGTCGTCATGTCCGAGCCCTTGTAGACGTACTTGTAGATGTACTTGATGGTTTTTTTTTCGTTGCACAGACCTCTACGTTGATGTGGCAGTTGTATTTCTGCGACAGGAACGGATTGTACGGGACCACCCATTGATTGATGGTCGCGTTGTCCCATACTTTCCCCTTATGGCACAAAATTCCATCCGGACGGCGACCACGCTTGTACGTGGGGTATTTGTCGAGGATCATCACCGTTTCGTCCGCGAGCGCCTTTGGAAACTTCTTGGAGCACCTTCCGTTCTTCATGCACGCACAGTTCGGGTTCTGTTGACCACAGGGTCCATGCAGCATATTGGAAATCACCGTATCGTACATCTCGGGGGACTTCTCTTTATCCGGGAGCTCTGAGGACACCAGCTTATCGACGTCCTCCTTGGTAGTGGGCTTGTCCTCCGGACGCAGGATAAGCAGTATGTGGGCGTGGGGAAGACCACGCTTTTGATATTCCACTACGTGGACTCGAGCGGCTTGAATCCCCAGCACACCCTCATCGAGATCCTTGTTAAGAGCTTTTAGTTTCTCCATGAACACGCGAGCCACGATGTCCGGTCGGTCGGATGCTTTCTCTCCACGGCGTAAGTTTTCCTTGATCTCAGGCCAGTTCGGGCTGCATGTCATCGTAATGAACAGGTTTGGGGCTCCTGTTTCACGGACGATAGCCATGGCATCCAAGACGCGTTGGTACATGTAGCGGGAGCCACCGGTAAACTTCGGGGGTATGATGATCTTGCGTCCAACCTCACCCGCATCTGGCTCCGCTGACTCCTGCTCCGTATTATTCCCACGGCGAGTCCTACGTATGGCCGCCTCGTCGTCAGCTGCCATTCTATGGATTTCAACAGACTCGCCACGCAACGCGTCCGTGAGTCCCTGGAGGGTTTCCAATCCATACTGGAGCTGGTTCTTCTTGATGAAGCGCAGGCGTTCTTGTTCGCATTTGGCCCATTGGTCAACGCAGTATTGCTGCGTCAGTCGCCCACCGCGCAGGATAAGAGAATTACTAACCGTCCGGTCGTAAAGCAGATACGCCTCATATTCCCGAACGGACATGGTTAAGGGGTCACCGTGGCGATCGACGGGATTACCAACGTAGGGGATATCGTAGTCCATCCATGTCTCCATAGGGAAACAGTAGAGGTACTGCAGTGGTGGTAGGTAACGCTCGTCTCAAGATGCGCTGAAACTCTCTGTGGTGTGTAGATATATTCCGAATGGTCCAGCGCGTGTGGTTTTACTATCACCAGCGGTCGGCCCACTTCGGATGGCATTGGGGGTTTTTTGGCTTACCCCGATTTGCCCTTTCGTTGGGACTGCCAAACCACACCCAGAGAGAATTTTTTCTCCCCCTCCGGGAAGAAAATTACTCAAGGCTAACGACGGGTCATGGTCATCAACGTCTTCCCCTGCCGCTCGGCGTCGTTCGTGTTCCCTGATGGCTGCTGCATACGCATCCCAGCCACGATCTATCAAAAATCTACGCGCGTTGATAAATTCTTGTGTGTACGGATTGTGCGCCACCATCATCTGGTCAATTATTTCCATGACGGCGCGATCGAGGCCTTGCGTCATGTTCATACGGCTTCGCACACGCGCATCCATGTCTGGATCGTTAAAGTAAACTTGGGCATACATGGAGCGGCCGAATGTTGGAGGTAGTAGCGAACCCAAGCGATGGCACACTGACCCTTGTACCCGGAAGTTGTAGACACCATTCCGTGTCACGCCTTCGTCGACGTTGAGAGGCCGAGACCGCGAAGCTCCCATGGACGTAAATGCGAATACGTTGTTGTAGGCTCGGATTGACCGCATGAAGGTCGGGTTTTCGAAAAGTGATAGTAGAGCATCAGGTGCTGTTCGCGAAGATGGAACGAACACCAGTCCGTTACGACAGCAGCATCCGTCGGTTTCTTGCGGAAACTTCCAAGCGTTGCAGTAGTGACAAACTCGCTCGTTCTCCCCGTTGTCGTCCGTGTAACGCGTAAAAGTAATGACGGCCACCAGCCACCGTGGAAGGGGTCGAAACTATCGTGGTACGCGAGGCCCCTTCTTATACTGCCGAGATCGCCCTGCGGAACCGCTCTTGCTCTTTTTCGCTGATCCCTTTGTTCTTCCGTCATGGAGTCTCTTTCGAGCTCTGTGCGCGGCTGCGTCCCGGCTCATGCTCTGCTTTGACGCCTGCTCATCCCGCAATATCCCCCTCCTATGGGCCTCCTTCGAAACCGCTGGAATCCTCACCGGCGATCAAACTTGACGCCTGCTACAATCCGTCATGCCGCCCCTCAAATGGCCTCTTCCGCGCCCATCAGAGATTTTTGATCCGCGACTCAAGTTTGG